GCGGAGAAGCCCCGCCCACACCTCCCCTCGCGGGGCCCTCTGGCGCTGGCCACGCCCACTCAGCGACACGAGCCCCGCCCACAGCCCATCGCCCCGCCCATCGCCGAGCTCCGCCGGCCCTGCCCCAACCGGGGCCGCTGCTGCCACCCGCCCTGGGAAAAGTTTAGCTCCTACAGCGAAAACCCCAGGAAAAAATCCAGCCCTGGGGCAATCTGGTGGGGTGGGAGGCGATTACTGCCAAAGGCTTCGTTTGGGTGCCTTGGGATGCGTGGGCTCTCATCCGGAGCTGGTTGAGGTCCACGCTGCCCACCTGGTTGTTGGAAGATGCCTTATGGCTTTCCTTCTTTGCATGCRGGTCTCCTGCATGGAGAGGTCTGGCCCCATTCCCAATTAACAGAGCGATTTAATTGCTGGCCTGTTGGGCAGCCAGATTAAGGCTCAGTCTGAGTTGGATAAAACTCCCCTGGAGTGGCTTAGGCCTCTGCCTGGCTCCCTCTCCCATCCCAAGTTTCTGCACTGTCTGCTAGTGTTTCAGACCAGAAAAACACCAACCTGCATCAGAAACCTCAAGAAAAAGCCTTTTTTTTCCTTTTTTTTTTTTTTTTYCTTGTTTGTTTTGGTGATATTTCCTGCCTTGCTTCTTCACAAAAGAGATTTGGAGAGAGATGAGCATCTCCAGAGCACCTAAGCTGGGAGCTCAGCCTGCTCAGAAGAGCAGTGCAGGAAAGCAGACTTTGATCCTAGGCCATGCTGCTTGTAGAGCAGAGGGTCTTCAACCACCCTTGTGCCCAGGGATTTTAAATATCTCTATTTATGAGCTATTTAAAAAAGAAGAGGAGAGAGGAGAGCAGAGGAGAGAGGAGAGCAGAGGGGAAGGAAGGGGAGAGAAGGAGAGGGAAGGAGAGGAGCTCAATCACTTCAGCTATTTATGCTGCTGCAGTGCCAGTTCCTGCCCAGTGCAGGCTTTGCTAGGCGGGGCACTGCAGAAGATCAAGGGACACCTGTGCAGTTACAGACCACAGCTGCCACCTGCTTCCTTCTGCAACTGAATCATTTAAATCCCAAATTCTCCCGAGGAGGGGGTTAGCATCAGCAGCTATGTAACATCTACAGGCATCTGCAGCCTGTGCTGGGGATGAGCACAGCTAATGCAAAGTGAGATAAAATCCAATTACCCACCCTTGGGGAGGGSTGTGCAACACAGACACGCAATATCTTTGGGACTTGTCTCCAAGAGAGCTGGCTGGCTCCAGGGCACATCCCAGAGCTCTGCTACACTGCATGACACAACTCGATTTTCATTAAAAGCGAGCCACAAAGCCATCTCGCGTCCCAGTGCAGCAGGGGGTCCTCCACGAGCAGACTGCTCTGTGGGCTTGCTTGTGGGGTTGGTGGGAGGTGACCTTTGAGATGCAGAAGAAACCTTTCCTCTTTGAATTGTTCTGTGGAGATAATGAATTTTGCAATGGATTTCCTGCTCTTTTTATAGAACAGGGGAGGCTGGCAGATCACAGCTCATCTGGCTTTAGTAAGAGGTGGGCATAATCACATTTGCTAGCGAACCTGATCTTTATGTAAAACATAGATTTCTTAGGCCTGAGCCCAACTGTTGCACCACACTTCAGATCAGCCGCAGGATTACACGGGAGGCATAGCAGAAGGATAGTGGGAAGCAGTAAAAGAGTGCTTTGGCTGCTGCATGTGGATGACCGTAAGCAACGAGCTGCCTACAGTCCCATCAAAGGTCCCACCAGCATGATACTGTTTCCAGCAGTGACAATAGGAGGTGCTATAGGGGGACAATAGAGGAGTCCAATACTTCCTGCAGTCCACTCCCCGTGGATTTCTGCAGCATCCACTGCTATTATATTACTGATGCTAGAGGACATAACCTACTGATACCACCTGCCTCTACAGCCATCGTGGCAGCAGAATCTAGAGGTTCACTGATCTCTGAGAAAAGATGTTGAGTGGAGCAGTCTAAGGAGCACTGCATGAAGGAACCTGGCTCTTGCTATTCCCCACCCTGGAAAGGATTTTAGCTCTGTGTTTTGCTTCCTGACTTTCAGCAGGTTTCACTCCATGTAAAAAGACCTTTCTTTCCATCTCTCCCCGTCTGAAGTGAAGCCACCCTTTTTGTTATCCCGTGGTTGCTGCACCGTGATGCAGTGGCTCCTTAAGATGGTACAGAACAATTCATGTGAGACTAAAGCAGGAAGATAAAAGTCTCTCTTTTTTTTTTTACTTTAATTAAATCTAATGTTCTTGATATAAATGACCAGTCTGGATGCTGCTTGGTCTCAGTGACTTGTTATCACATTAACTTTTCACTGACTGTCTCCTTGATCATGAGGCATGGAGAACTGGACCTCCTGTGTCCTCTCTCTGGGCCATTTGATCTTTTGAGTGCTCAAGGCCAGGCTGAGCAGTCCTGTGCCGTACCAGAGCTGTCTGCAGCAATGAACATTTTCAGTCATCTCTTTGAGACTTTGCAGCTTTGGGACGTCTGTTTGAGATCAGGTGAGCAGTTCTCCATGGTGAAATCAGCTAAGCCCTAGTTCATGTTATTTCATGTTAAAATGAAATTTCTTTTTCACAAATCTGATCGTTTGTCTGCTCTTTCGACTGCAGCTATGTCTTAAGCAGAAGCCTTACATGAGCTTCCTCTGCCCTTTTCAGCTAGATTATTAGAGAAAGTTGGCTAACGAGATAAACAAGGGAGCTCAGGCCAACTTTGTTAAGACTTTTTTGCATTTGAAGGATTTGGGCAGTGGGAATGTTAGATTATTTTAGCCGGCAGAGGTGTTGATGTGGCAGCAATTTCAGTTAGTTGGCAATGGTTTCCGTTTTAAGGAGTTCAGCAGCATTTGGCCAAAAGGAGGTTAAATGTTTCAACACAGGGAATCAGCCCTTGGTCCTGAGGACAGTCACAACAGCAGCAGCTTTGTGATGCTTGACCACGCTCAAAATGTCTCCATTTTAACTAACCCTGTGSTCCTGCCTGCCTGGAGCAGCAGGCTTAGTTATCTTCCACTGTTGCTGTGTCATTGTCATCTGATGTTATCCAGAGCCTCCAGCATCTCTGGCTGACTTCRCTGCCAGCTGACGTATGTGAAATTACCAAAGATTGCTGGAGACTCTCTTGATGATCAGGACCTTCGGTCAGTGTAGAGACTCTACAGYATTCGTAGAGTCTCTGTTGTTTCTGTCTCTGTCTACCCTCTTCTCCTTGGACTTCATACCCAGGTATCCACCAGGTCAGGAAGCTCCCAATGTCTTATTTGGCCTGATCCGTGAGTGCAGGTGGGAGTGTTCCTTGGAGAAGGGACAGTAGGCACCAGCTAGGCTTTGCTCCTGGATTTAGCAAGTTTGAAAGGATCATTACACTCTATTGCACAAGGATCTTGCCGAGCCTGAAAGTACAAACAAGGCAGTATAACCATCCGTGCAAACATGCTGAGCRGCTACTGTGGGATCCTAACTGGATCAGCACCACTGAAAAGTCAGACTCTTCTCATTGTCTGAATCCAGAATAGGAACTGAACTTTGAAGACCCACTGGTATGAATCCCCAAGTTTTGCCATCCAGCCCTGCAAGGAGTTCAGCAGGTTGGGAACTCGTACTTCAAATTTGTTTTTTAAAGTAAATCACATCTCTTGGAAATGCAAAATAAAAGCAAAAACACGTGGGAAGTATTGTTGCTTTCCTTGGTAAGTTGCCTCAGGACACATGTTTATTAAAAGGCAGAAATGGAGTGTAGTGGAGATAAGGAACCTGTCTCACTTGCCTGTGGTCTGGTTTTGGCTTTGTGAAACGCCTGATAGCACAGATTTGTGGCTGGCTCTGGCAGAAAACATCAACACACACGGGGAGATRCTGCAAAACAACTTTGCCTCTGCAGGCCTTGAGGAAAAACCTTTCTTAACCACTGTCTGTCCAGGGAATCTCCAAAAATATCGCCTGGGATGTTGCTCTTGTCTTAATTTTGGAAAGGAATRAATATATGCCACTGCTCTGCTGAGAGCACTTGTGGATGTCTCAGCCAGTGTCATTGCAGACCAACAACAGCACAACACCGGGGATGGGCTTCATGTCTGAGGCTCCTAGACTCCGGGGATGTGTATTCCTCGTTCTGCTGACATCTCCTGATACCAAGTGGCCAGAACTGTGCTGTCCTGTTCCCTGTCTCTGTTGACCCTTGGCAAACCATATCTGGCCTCCCGTTTACCAGCTCTTAACTGCTATATGCAATCAACAATGTTTAAATCAGGATTTATCCATCTCTGTAGCCAACAGGCTCCCCTCTGAGAGCTATTTCCCCGGTAAATGGGACCTTCTGTGCTGACACATCTTGCAGGCTTAGCTTTGTTCTCAGCGTGTGATGTGGGTCTGGTTACTGTACATGGGATGCAGAGAGCTTGGACTTTCCTTGCTGGGTTCAGATGGAAAATTCGCCTCTTTCTGGGATTCTGGGGTAAACCCCAAAATTCACTTTCACACTGGGTACTGGCACAGTGCTTTCACCTATAGAGATGAGACTGTCTGGATTGAATCCCCTAGTTGGATTCCACTAGGAAAGTACAAGAGCACTTTTTTTTTTAAGGACTGGTCAGCACAGGTGGGTGGAGGGGAAGGGAGCATTCCAGGGAAGGCCCTGCACTGTCCTCAGCGGTTAAAGAAGAAAGACTTGAGTCTCTGCAGAAACTGTGACTTCTGCCTCTGCTTCTGCTTCTTCCGAATGATGGGGATCCAGACAAGTCCACAGACAAGGAGCATCAGTCCCATGGACAACAAAGCTGGGCCACACATTTTGTAAACATCTTTGTTGCTGATTTCGATGCAAGACAGGCTGGTGATAACCACCCCGAAGAGGAACACAGCTGCTCCGACAGACATGACGATGATGGGCTTGTGGTATATGTTCCACTTGCTTCTGGATTCACTGGTCCAGACGGACTCGCTCCGAGAGCTGATGCACAGGGTGCTGGCTGTGTTACTGGGCAGCAGCTCCTTGGACTGGGGTGACTTCTCACTCCCATCTGGGCTTTTGGCGGGGACTTCCATGGTGACAGGATCTGAGGAGGAGACCTGCAATGGACAAAAGAGAAAGAGTAGAGCTGGGTTACTGCTGGATGGACAGAGTGGAAGTTCTCCGTTTTGTTGATTAGTCAGTGCAGGCCCTCTGGCCTCTTCCAATGATCATGGAGAAGGGCTTGTGGGTCACTTTGGGAGAGAAGAGCAGCATACCTATGTGAGAAATTAAATATAGTTGGGTCCCACCAGTAGACAGGCTCTGAGGGGGTCTGTAGGAGCCAAACTACCTCCTCCACAGACCCCACGTCAAGCTGTATGCTGAGACCTTCCACCAGCCTCCATCTTCCACACAAGTGCCATGCCGGCAGGCTGTGGGAGAGAGCTCCATCTCTGCCTTGTGGGCAGGGAAACTGAGACATGGCTGTGCCCATGGCAGAGCTACACAGTGGGAGAAGCTGGAAGCTTCCTGAAGGCCTCCTGAGAGCTTCCCGGGCCCCTCATGAGGATCTCCCAATGGCCTCCAGGGTGCCTCCTGGACTGATTCTTCCTCATTGGCATGCCCAGCATGGGTACGTGAGCCTCCTAGCACAGGGAAGGGGACTGCGCTGGCAATTAGGATAGGCTTCCAGTTTCAGGTTCCTCCTTGATCCCTAGGATGATTCTGGCTCCCCTTTGACTCCATTTTCCAAGCAACTAAAATGAGGGGAGACAGACCTAACACCCCTGCTGATACAGACAGGGTCTTTTCTTTGCCTGTCCGAATGTACAGGATAGAGAGAGGGAGGTCATGGTCACAGAGCAGGCATTCTCCAGGCCCAGGCTGGGCCAGGCTGCTCAGGGACACCCGTGGCTCTGGCCTTGCCATGGCGATGGTGGCAGCATGCCTTCCTCAGGGACCATGGCACTGCATTATATATATATTTTTTTCCACCAGTTCAAGTAGGAAATGCATTTTCTCAGAAGCTAAGTGCCTTTATCACTTTACATGACGGTAAATGGGAAGGGATGAGCATTATCTAAACCACAATTTCCTCAAGGCTCTACTGGGGAAACAAGGGCATGAAGGGGGACGAGCAAGTGCTCCACACCCTGTGTGGGCTGCCTGGATGCTGGGAAGCAGCCACCAYCTCCCTCCTGCTTTTGGCTATGACCCCTGCCCAGGTCCGTGCTGGTTTTGCATAGAGCCAGATTCTTCCTTCCCTCCCACCCCACGTACTCACCTGCTCTGGGGTTGTAGAAATGTGGATCTAGCAACACCAACATTGTGATGTTTCAGGTTTGCCAAACTTAAGCCAACAAACAAACAAAAAAGCCAAGGGACTGTGAAGGGCGATGAATATTATTTGCATCCCTCCCTCCAACAGCTTTTGCTCCTCTCTTGAACTAGGAGAGATGGGAGTGGGGAGGACACATGCTTCCTGCTCCTTTCTGCTGCCGTCTTGATCTATCTGCCCTTGACCAAGGATGTCAGGCAGACAACTTCAGTCACAGTAGCAAGCAATGGTTTCTCTGTTTCTCTTCCTTTTGAGCTGCTAGTCCAGAGGACTCAGCAAAGATGTCGCTGCTGAGTGGACTGAAATGTCCAGGAACCTCCAAAAATATCCTGAGCTGTCCAGACCCTGGATGACTTCTTCCTTGGCTGGGTTATGTAGTTTGGATGCTGTCTGCTTTGCTCATAGTGGTGCTGGGCTACGATCAGCCTGTTCTGACTCAAATCCAAGCTTTCTCAGGGTTCTGCATGAAATTTCACCCGTGTAATCCTGGGCTTTCCTGGCTTTCCCCTTGTAGCATTCCTCATTGAAAGGTTTTATGATCAGGCCATTGTATAATTTTAATTTGGCTWTGTGGTTGGAAATTTGCTTTCTTCCCTGGACTGATGCCCAGATCTCATATCTCAGCAGTTTAATGTAATCTGTCCTGCCCAGTCTTTGGGGCACCCCACTCCCTGCCTGTCTATGGTCCACTGCCCTGCCTCTGCCTCCCAGGTACTCTGTGCTCAAAACCAACCTCCTCTTGGTTTTGCAGATCATTAATCTCATGCTCATGCAGAAACTTCCAAGCTTGCATCTACATTAGAGTGGATTTCCCCCCCTTTTCGTTTTGGCGTAATCATCCCTCTCATCCCAATTCCCATCTGGTGGCAGTTCCTGGAAGAGCACTTTGTCTGATCACACTTTTTCCACATTTGCTCCTTTTAATTTTTGATCTCTGTTTTGTACTGCCCTCTGTCCTTCTGCATGAGGCTCGGTGAGCTTTTCTCACCATTAGCCAGTGAAGAATTTCACTCCCTCCAAGTCGCTGGGGGTTTGCTTGTCAGCACTGCATGCATCTGCAGCKCTTGTGAGGGTTAACATTACCCTCTGTTCCTGTTCTGCCCATCAGATGTGCTTGCTTTGGACGATATGATGTTTGACCTGAACAGCTCCACAGGATAATGCTATCAGATTCCTCCAAAATTTTTTAATCACRATTGCTGTAAGGAGAACTTCAGCATATGGCTATTTGTTAGCTTGCAAATGCCCTCATAGCACATCTCAGATATCATGTCTGGTGGCATGTTGCTTCTGCATCTCAAATCTAAGCAACTGTTGGCAGTGAGGCGAATAGCAGAATATCTCATTTTCTGCTTCATTTCATAAAAGGGAGCTTCATATCATGCTACTTCTACTCCTTTTGCTTTTCTACTGCTCTGTGTGGTGACGTTTGGTGTATAAGCTGCAGGAGCTGTTGGAGTCTGGTTGCTGATGATGCTGGGGCAGCCACAGCAATGCTGCACGCTGAACTATTCCTCCTAGCTCACTGCCCTGTGGAAAAGCCCAGCGGGAAAGGTGAGCCCAATAATACTTTGTCTTTTTCCGTTAGGAACAAGTCTGTAGCTTTAGCCACTAGTTTTAGTGCTTGCATTTCTCTTGGACTGCCCCTTCTAGGTGGATTTAAGCATCTCCAAAGACCTTCCATTCTGCTCCATCATCTATTTTTTTGGGTACCTCTCAGGCCTATGAAGATTGGTGGTGGGGGCAGGATTAGGCTGCAGTGGACTGGGTGTGTGAACCTTAGGGACAGTGGGATGTTCCTGGCAGGGAGATCCGGCATTGCCCTGGGACCTGCAGGCTCTGTCCTCAGYACAGGGCGAGAGACTATGCCAGGGAAGAGCTCGTGCCGTGGGGAATGTCTCCCCCTCAAACTGAGGACTAAGGGATAACTTTACTTTCCCAAATTCAGTGTTCTGCCAGTCTGTCTCCTTTTTTCCACGTGGAAGCAGCTCTGATACTTCAGGAGCTTCTCACACGCTTCCAATTAACACCTACTCCCTGCAACACCTTGTTTGTTCCCCTTCCTCCTCTCATTTTGCAAGGCTAGGAACACCAAGTGAGCCTGGATGGAGAGAATCTGTCCCAGGTTCAGTGTCCTCCATCCCTCTCTCTCAGCATCCTGAAGATGGAGCTGGGATCTGCCTTAGGAGAAGGYGGATGTCGTCCCACAAGAGCATCCATAGTGAGGAGGCACCATGAGTTTGCCCCAGGCAGGGAGCAGAGCAGTGCCAGGGCTACGGGTGTTGGTGGTGAGGTTGCTGTATGCAGGGTCACATCGTGGAGCTGTGGCAGCCAAAGTCTCTGATTAGAGTTTTACCACGCGAATCAGTGGGTGGAAAGCAAAAATTTTTTAAAACCAGCTGCCAAGCTATGATGGAAATCCAGTCTAAGCTTTTCTATGGATATATTTTCCTTTTCTGGTTGCTATTAAGCTACCTCCCTGAAGAAAGCTGTCCCACAACACCTCTCGGAAGCAACCATCATGGAAAAGAAAGTTTTGAATTAAAAGCAAAGTGAGGCCCTGCCGTCCCTGAATGTACTCTATTCCAGGACTGGAGAAAAGAAGAAGACAGGCTGACTCAAAAGCTAGGATGAGGTTTTACTGATCAGCTGTGAACAAGCAAACTGAGTGAACAGTGCAAGTTAGCTCTGGTGCTAGGGAACAAGTCAATGGAAGATCATCTGAACACAGATATGCTCGTGCTTCCCCTGCTTGCACCTCACCTGGTCACATCTCCACTTTAACATATAGGAGCTCAATGAGATGTTAGGATAGTATCTGATAATTGAATTTTCCATCAGCCAGGAGCTAGATACTGTCTCACAAAATCCACAAAATTGCCCACACAGAAGAAGTCTTCAGACCCACCCACCGAGGTTCTTCTCAGCTGTCAGAAGCTTGGGATAATTCCCTGGTAAATTGCACCATTCTGGAATGCAGAATTTTGGGGTAGTACCCAAAGGGTTCGTTTGCCATTCAGGTGAAGGATGTGTCATGACTGCCTCCCCAAAGGGTGGGCAGCARAGCCCTTGCTGGTGGAAAACATTGTGGAATGTGTACAGAGTGATACGAGTTTTCCTGCTGCTCTGGGCTGTYTCATCCTAAACTCTGTAAGAGGTTTTGGTGTTTAACTTCAGCACAGGACCCTGCCAGATGATAACCGAGGGCTCGTGCTCATCAGGAACAGAGGTTAGCTGCTCCAGAGGACCTGTGGATGACTGACCTTCTAAACCAGCTGATGGGAAGGTGGGAATGGAAACTGCTGGAGTGTTGGACATGTATGTATATATCTCTGAAACACCTAGCCCTGACCACATTTCTTTCAGAATGGCTAGCAGGTTAGAAATCAATACATGCAAGGTCCATGTGCAGTGACATAGCATGACTGAGTTCCCCCAAAAAACAAGTAAGCAGAGCACTGGAGAAATGCTGTTTTCTGAAAGTGTGTGACCTGTCCCCCAGCCTGTGTCTGAGGTCGCCCGGAGCCCGGTGGCCACATGCCTCCCTCCAGGGACCCGAATACCGTGGGGCCCTGAGCTATGGCAGCGCCTCCGCTCCGTGTGCCAGAGGTGGCACAGTCCCAAAGGAAGTTAATGAGAGAAGGGTCACCGCTTGCCGTGGCATTGGGGACCTGGGAACGCCCCATCCATGCAGATGTGACCAGGGGTCTTGGAGGGCCGCGGAGCAAAGGGGAGGGAGGGCAGGAGATCCCCGGAGAAGGGCTGGCATCCAAA